CCTGTAAGAGTTCGAAAGCTCAGGATAAGAAAAAAATTGATCCGGTACTCGACAATCCTTCTCTACAAACCCCTAATTTTTTGGGTATTTTGCTAATTTGCCCCGTGGTCTACGTGAATGAAATCATTTTTGCAAAAGAAAATGGAATGCTACTTTAAAAATAAAACGAATCTCCCCTTCTTTTTTTATCTTTCTCACGAACATAATAAGCTAGGCCCGATATTCTCGAAAGAATTCTTCAGAGTACTTTTTCTCCATGGCAACTGTGGATACTGTGCCCGGCGGCCTACAAATGCGTAAGTAAACTTTTCGAGTTGCAAAACCATCGCACAGTTTCGCTTAAAATTTAGCGAGGTAATAACTATACTGTAGTATCAGTTACGGCCATAACAACAGTCACGGGCTGGGACCAGTTCGTTCGAAATGCGTAACCAATGCCTTGAATTTCTTCTTCTTATCCGCCGGTTAACAGCCACCAAATTCAAATTTTATCCACGGAAGCGCAGGGTAGAAGCAGTGCATACCTAGGTGTTTCACATGCTGGCAAAAAATTTCGCACCCAGCTGAAATATCAGGGGCTATGCAGTAAGGTAGATAATATTACAGCCTCGTGTAAGTAAACTTTTTCAATAAACAAAACACCGCAGAATTACGGTTAACACTTAGCGAGATGGCAGATCTACTGTTTCTTCGATTGGACAAGAGTCGGACATAACAATATATTCTTCATACTTTCTCCTTTATTGTGATTGGTCATCATAAGCCATGGTCAATCCGTCTGGATAAATTCAGTCGTACCTTCGGTTTAATCGTTCCTGCCTGCTTACAGCCCTATCATTTACAGTATTTCAAATTGCGCGCTTGTGTTCTGACGCCTTCTTGGTGTACTTAAACAAGCTAGTGAAGTTCCCTGCTTTTTTAACTCTTCCTTCCCAAAAAATCCACATCTCCATCCATCTGAAATACTAAATCAATGCCTCCAATTTTCATGTTTACGTCCATTTATGGCCTCCATATAGGCAGTAGTAGGACCCGGCGTAGGCAAACTTTTCGAATAGCAACACCATTGAGGGATTTCGGTTAAAGTTTCACGAGATAGCACATCCACTGCCCTATCAGTTGCTACGGCAACAAGGGTCGGGGACTGGAATCAGTTTGCCTGAAATACCCCAACCAGACTGTCTTCAGTTTCCGCAGAAGCAGTGTGTGCGTGCTCCCAAGTATTCCACACTTCGGTCATAAAGATAAAAGGCTCAAGAGAAACCAGAGAGGGGAAGAGGAAGACAGTTCTCACCCAGCTGTTGGCTGATCTCCGGTGGGAACATGCGAGAGGCGAAGGTGCGTCGGAAGATGGCGGAGAACTCCTTGTCCAGACCGCCAATGCCCATCTGCGCAAAGTCCCAGTTCGGATTGATGATGCTGGGTTGACCCAGGGAACCGCCACCGCCGGGTCCACCAACCTGCGCCGACTTACCAATCATCAGCAGGGTGGATTCGGGCAGGCGTTCCCAGGTGATCAGGGTGTTGCCCATCAACAGGCCCGTCTTAATTGGGATCAAGGGGGAGGGGGGAGGGGTACATGAATAGGCAGAACGACTTGTGAGCAGTACGTTAAAAGCATCGAGCTCGGTTAGGCAAGTAATCAATTTGGTTAATACAGTGTGAGTACCAAGTGAACTCGTAGGCTGCTACAGAGGTGAGCGATGGCGGACATCTGCTCTGACAGATTGAGAGTTGCAAAAACTATACGAGGCCGACATCAAGCACATTTGCGGAAGTCACAAACGGAGGATTTGTGCAGGAGACAGAGATTGCACCAAAAGCCATCTCGGAACGCCTTAAGCTAGTATGACACCGGGCTCAGGTGCGTGGGTGAGGGAAGAGAGAGTGTGATAGATGCTGTGCAAGTCAACCATCACTTAAAACCAATTCGTGCGTAGGTCAGCGTTCTTGGAGACGGGAGTAGCTGCTTCTGATTTAGTAGGCAGATAGTACTGCCGGCAAAGACAAGGGAGACTATGATGGCCATTTCTGGCGTATTAGCTGTCGCCAGGCAGTCATACCCAGACCCAAGTGGTGCACCACCCGAGCTTCGAACTCGCGACCTTTTTATCAGATGCAAACACCCTAACCATTGAGCCACGAGCTCGTTGTCTCGCCGATTTAGGTCAGGAGATATTGACACTCGTTGATGAACGTTCACCTGACCGCTACCGCTAACAGAACTCATCTGCCTGCTCTGCCTTGGGCCCTGATAGCCGTAACAGTTGGTGGTAGGCAGGTAGTAGTAGTAGTAGCGGTCAGGGGAACGTTCATCAACGAGTGTTATTTCTGGCTTATTAGCCTTCGTCAGCCAGCCATAACCGACCCCGAGTAATGCACCAGCTAGAGGAAGCAGAAAGTAGTTGCACACGTGAACTGATTGGTTTTCAGTGCAGTGACTACTACTTACCTTGTTCAAACACACACACACCACAGCATAGATGACAAGGCAAGTCAAGAAAACTAAAGACCAATGTGCGTGCGATGGCTGACGAGGCTCAAATCTGCACCTAGGAATGCTACAGACATGCTGGTCTCTAGAAGAACGCGATTCGGGCTTTTGAGGTCACCCAGGTGAGAGTGGCGGGCTATTGAAAACGAGCCACCGTTTTTTCGGCTTTCCATTCGCATGCACGACGGTTGGCTTATCCCGCCCATTTTTAACCCCTCTTTCCTTATTCCAACAACAACAACAACAACAACAACAACAACAACAACAACAACAACAACAACAATGAGGTCGATAGCTCACGACGCTAACACCGCTTTGAAAGGAGTCCGATTTGGCCCTCATGTTGCGACTCATTCGAGGACGACCCTGCATGATGTTGACAGTTGCAGTATTCAGCCATTGCGCATTGTTTGTGATTCCCGGGTTTCTTTTATGTGTTTGTGTGCTTAGTTCTATTCAAGGTGAATGGAGGACGCTTTTGCCGAAAATTCTGGAATTATATTTTCAAAATAAAGCGTATTTCGCTCTCTTTTTCTCTCTCAAAAACAATGGTCCAGATGTATGGAGGTTTATTCCTTCACTGATGACGCCAGATAGCGCTTACTTGTAGGGGGCGGGCAGCGTGCTTACAGCCGAGACAAACAAAGAGGGGGAAAAGACGGAAAGAAAGGAGACAGAAACAAGAAGACACTGTGCATTCATAATACCTTGCAAGACTGGTCTCCTTTCTCCATTGACAGACCTAAAAGAGCAAGGAAAAGGAAAATTGAGGACTTTTGCAGCAAGGAAAACAAGAGAAGCATTTGAAGTAGCGTTTACCGCAGTAAGCAAATAATGCAGATTTGATTGGATAAAAAATCATTGCGAGACTGCTCTTGAAATGCAACCTGTGTCGCTGGATGACATCAATAACGAAGTACAAGATACAACAAACTGAACTCGTGCTCATCCATTCGCTCATCCAGTACTTAACATCTGTTTGATAACCGTCACTCTATGGACCCCAAAATATCCTTCCGAATACTTTTTTCCGCACGAACAACACG